AATTTAATTAAATTAAAGTGCCTAGTAGTCATATCATATCGCATCTAACTGCCGGTTGCCCCCTTCTTCGCGCCGTTTTCTCTATTGTTCCCACTTCCTGGAACCGTCCTCGCAGCTAGCGCCATCTCCCGTGAAATAAACTGCACATCGATGCACGATTGAAAAAGCGAATCTGCTACATTGATAAAGGCTGGAACTCGCTCCCCAATGATGCCGTCTATTTGAATTTTCTCCAAGGGGAAAAGCTTCCGTACACCCTGATATATACACACACGCGCGCCCGTGCAAGCACGCACTCACGCACGCACGCGTACGTGCACACACACACACGCATTGACACACACACACACACACACACACACACACACACACACACACACACACACACACACACACACACACACACACATACACACACACAATAATCACAATTTAAATTGCGCTTCAAAAACTCAAGAAGCAATTTGAGATTCTCTGAGCACAGCTGCTTTAAAAAAGAGACTTCAATTTATTGCTCGTAACTCTCTCCTAGCCGTCCGATTAATATGACCATACAGGGGGCGCTGTCGTCGGCGAGCGGCGGTCGGAAGGCAGTGATTGTATTACAGTATACACTTCTAACAGAACGTCTCACCGTTTTTCCTTTTCTTTATCTCGGCACTATAGCTGAACTTCGTCGTAAATTGCATATTGAGTAGATATGAAAGATTTTGGGGCACCAGACACGTTCAGCTGGTCATGTCGCCTCCAGTACAGCCTCACGTCACGTGATTCATGCAGAAGTTATCCTAAACTGACGGTGTTTAATTGCGCATGCGCATCTGTTTTGTTTGTGAGTAATAAATTGGCTGATTGTTTTTAGTACTCGCGTCATAATAAACAGCTTTGCAATAATTTCGTATCGGAAAAAAATCGGAAAGCGAGAAAACTTTTACGTATAGCGTTCATACATCTCCGTGATTGACAACTGTCTCTAGGAACGACTCATTCACTCTGTTTTCACGTTGCTTTGCATAACAACGGCGACGAATTCCCTATTTGTTTGGATTTTGTCCGACGCAAGTAAGAAGCGGATATCAACACGCGATGACGTCATTCGTTTGTCATAAGACAACTTGGGCCAGACGCGTTTATGACGTTATGAGCAATTATATTCACATCCATCAGAATTCGGGGGCAAATTTCCCTCCAGCTGCTTCCAGATAAATACGATTAAATTGCAATAACAGATCAAAATTAGCTTGCTGTGTGTTGTCATATGCACCCATCATGCCATTACTGGCTCCACACGCCCACGGCGCGTCTCTCTAACTATACAGTTATCCGACATCGAAATTAAAATGGATTTACACTTCATGCTGCGAAATCAAACATTTTAATCTCATCAAGAATTAATAACCGAAACTTTTCGAGTACGCTGAACGTGATTTTTCACAATACTCCAGCGCCTGTCGGCTGCCTGGCATCTCAACAAGCTGGCTGTGCGAAATACATTGTAGATGCTGATTACAAATTCATCTGGGCAGACTTGGGTGGTTTAGGTTCTTCATCAGACGCCCAAATCTACAATAACTGCGAGCTGAAGGAATATGTGGAAGGGGAGAACATCGGATTTCCACGACCAGATCCTCTACCCAATGACACCCAGGATGTACCCTACTACTTCATCGGAGACGATGCATTCGCCCTCAGAGAGACCATGATGAAGCCCTACGGACTCCGTGGTCTGGATGATAACCACAGGATCTTCAATTATCGGCTTTCACGTGCCAGAAGGGTTGTGGAAAATGCCTTTGGCATCCTAGCCAACCGATTCCAGGTTATGCTTGGCACCATGCAGCATCTTCCAGAAACTTTCAAACTCGTAACCAAAACCTGCATTTGCCTGCACAATCTCATGAGGATACGCTACCCTGGTCTACGTCTACTACGTGACCGATATTCGCAACTAGCACGCAGGTCCAACGCAACTTGTAAGTTTTGAACGCAACTCACACGCAACTAGCACGCAGGTCCAACGCAACTTGTAAGTTTTGAACGCAACTCAAACGCAACTCGTAAGTTCTGCACGCAACTCGTAAGTTCTGGACGCAACTCGTAAGTTCTGCACACAACTCGTACGCAGGTGATCGCAGATAATTGGGGGAATCATAAGGTCAGTTCGCAACCCACACGCAACCCACACGCAACCCACACGCAACCCACACGCAACCCACACGCAACTCACACGCAACCCATAGGTTGAATATAGGTTAGAAATCAACAAAATTGTTGATTTGGGTTGCGTTTGGTGCGTATAAAAATATTTTTTACACGAAACTCATAGGTTTCAGCATACGCTATGGTTAGGCGCACGTATGAAAACTGATAGACTAGGTTCTGGTTCTAGTCTGTGGAAAGTTACACGCCACATACGCCGCGTAGTGTTAACTAT